ACAGGGCGACAGGGATGACGGGCGACGCAGCGAGTGACAAGAGCGACGGAGAAGGCGGCGGCGCGGAAGGTTGACAGGGCCAGCGGCTTGCAAGGCAGAAGCAAAGCCACTTGACCGAAGCAACACAGAAGGCTGAAATGGATTCGCGCGAGGCGCGGCAGCAGCAGCGCCTGAGATCTGCGCACCAGGGCCAAGACCATGCAGGGTAGGTGGCGCGGCAAACAAAGATCTTGGGCTTGGCGGACTATCTGGTACTTCCACAACCTCTTCTGCACCTCGCTTTCGTTGGCGAGGGTGCGGGTTTGGCGTTGTCATGAGATCCAACGCCCACTCTGCAGCTGCGTTGAGGTCAATTGTTCGCTGCAGCGCGCGGCTAGCTAGTTCTTGAGGGATGCCCATATCAAGAAGATTCTGAAGCTTTTCCTGCTGAGTTGCGCGCCGCATACCTCCAGAGAGCGGGCATGTAAGATGCAGGCACGCCTCTCCTCCCAATCCCGGCTCAAAACGGAAGCGTGGAAGGCCGGCACGCAATCCATGAAATGGCCGGGTTTGCTTCCGCCTTGCGGCGAGGTGAACAACATGCAGCGGATGGCGGGGTGACTTGCGTGGGCGTGGCAGGCAGCAAGCAAATCCAAGATGTGGCATGGAAGCCCTGGGCGAAACCAAAAAGCGCTCTCTTTGCCGGCGTCAAAAACCAGAAGCCCGCAAGGACAGCAGTCAGATAAGACGTTCACGGCCACTTGAATTTGCAAGGCGTCAGTAGGGTTCGCCTCACTGCCTGGACGCCGGAACGCTGCGGCGACAGAATCCATTCCTTGTGCGGCGGCCCAATCGGCGCAACGACGACGCCCGTTTTCTGGGCTCATGTGGTGCCATCTCTGGCCAGCGAGCCACCAGCATTCTCCTTCACCATCATTGTCCACAACGCGCATAGCAGCCCTGTGAAGAGCCTCTGAAATAAATGAAGCAGGAGGGCGAAGACACAGGTTGGAACGCTGAGCCCGAGAGAAAGCCATGGGAAAGTCAAGGGCCGACAAGGTTGGCAGGCAGCGCCAAGCCAGCCACAACGCTGTAAAGACTTCCAAGGCACCACAAGCAGCTACAGCATGGGAGAGAAGACAAAACCCAGCAGCGCCGGGCACGCAGGAGGCCATAGTCACGCAGACAGAGCACAAGGACAGACTCGAGTGCAGGTGGAGCGCGCAGCGGCGCTTGCGCTGGTGCCGACGGCGGCCAACACGGAGGCAAAACGCAGAAGCACAGCCCGCACGCACAGACCCTGGCCAGCCAAAGCTCGGGCCCTTGCGCCCGTGGAGCAAGCACCAAAACTGCCCGAAAGCGAACAAAATTCCACGCCAGTCCACAAAGGGAAGGAGTTGGAAGTCCAGGGCGGGGCAACTGAAGCCAAACACAAGCAAAGAAGCGAAGGCGATGCCGCGCTGGACGCCAGCCCAGTCCGCGCCGCAGAACAGTCGTAAGTCCACAAAGCAAAGAGACGCCATGGCACGAGCGGGCGTGACACCAAGCCAGTCCGTGCCAGGGAAGGGCAAGTCCAGGGCGGAGGCAAACACAGGGGCAGAGGCCATGGCTGACGCGAGATTGAATCGAGGGTTTGTAGGCAAGAAGCTTCAAGCCGGAAAGCTCGGAATCTCGAAGTTCTTCATGATGCGTTTGAGTTTGTTTGCTTGCTTGCCTGCCTGCGTGCTTGTTTGTTTGCTTGCTTGCTTCCTTCATGGCTTGCTTGCTTGCTTGCTTGCTTGCTTGCTTGCTTGCTTGCTTGCTTGCTTGCTGGCTTGCTGCTGGCTGGCTGGCTGGCTGGCTGGCTGGCTTGCTGGCTTGCTGGCTTGCTGGCTTGCTTGGCTTGCTTGCTTGCTTGCTTGCTTGCTTGCTTGCTTGCTTGCTTGCTTGCTTGCTTGCTTGCTTGCTTGCTTGCTTGCTTGCTTGCTTGCTTGCTTGCTTGCTTGCTTGCTTGCTTGCTTGCTTGCTTGCTTGCTTGCTTGCTTGCTTGCTTGCTTGCTTGCTTGCTTGCTTGCTTGCTTGCTGCTTGCTTGCTTGCTTGCTTGCTTGCTTGCTTGCTTGCTTGCTTGCTTGCTTGCTTGCTTGCTTGCTTGCTTGCTTGCTTGCTTGCTTGCTTGCTTGCTTGCTTGCTTGCTTGCTTGCTTGCTTGCTTGCTTGCTTGCTTGCTTGCTTGCTTGCTTGCTTGCTTGCTTGCTTGCTTGCTTGCTTGCTTGCTTGCTTGCTTGCTTGCTTGCTTGCTTAGTGGAAAAAAAATCCCAAACCAGCGGGAGAAAAATTCCTTAAATAAATTAGCACCCAATAGTATATGCCCAGCAGTGATGTGTTCCATTTAAAACCAGCACGGAAGCAAAAACAAAACATAATATATAAATAAATAATAAAAAAAATGAATAAATAAAAATAAATAAAAATAAATAAAAATAAATAAAAATAAATAAATGTATATATATATATAAATAAATAAATATATAAATAAATAAATAAATATATAAATAAATAAAAATAAATAAAAATATATAAAAATAAATAAATAAAAAATAAATAAATAAATAAATAAGTAAATAGAAAAGTAAAATAAAAATAAAAATAAATAGATATGTATATATATATATATATAACTCTTAAGCAAATGGAAGCTATCAGGTTGTACCCCGTCGAAGCTCTAACCTGCAAACGGTTCTTCAAGAGTCACTCTCAATCGGGGGTTCCCTATTTTGGGAGTCCCCAATGTTCAATCTAGGAAAATTGCTCACCCACCGGAAACAAGGAACCTTAATCCTTCATGGAGACGGATCCAATTTCCGCGCTTTAGGAGAAGCTGGGGTGTCCTCTCCTCCAAAAACTAGACTGAGTGATGGTAAAATTCCAAAGGAAAATTCCAAAGGAAGAGTTCCAAGGGGAGACTTCAAATGCAAAAAAACTAAATTGGGAAAATTCGGATGTGAGAATTGGCAAAAACCTTGGGCACCTTCTTGGGCAAAGTCCGAATTGCAAAGAGAAAATCCCAATGGGAGAAGTTCAGAGGGAGAACTCCATTGGGAGAATTCCAATGCGCGAACTCCAAAGGGAGAATTCCAAAGCAACATGTCGAATGAAGGATTCCATTGGGAAAATTCCAAAGGACAACGTTCACTGGGATAATTCCAAAGGCAAAGTTCCAATGGGAAAGTTCCAATGGGAAACTTGAACAGGGGCATGTCCAAAGGTAGAATTCAGATGGGAGAGGTTCAATGAAAAATGTCAAAGCTAGCATTCCAATGGGATTGGTCCAAACGAAAACTTGCAAAGGGATCTTTCCAAGATTTGCTCAATGGGATAAGTCCAATGGGAGAATGACAAAGGGAAAATGTCCAGTGGGAGAATTCCAAAGGGAGAATTCAAATGGGTGAAATCCAATGGGAAAGTTGGATAATGACTGCAAAGGCAAAAATCCAAAGGGGTAATTCATGGGAAAATTCCAATGAGAGAATTCCAATAGTAGAACTCGAATGGACAAATTCCAGAAGGAAAATTAGGACACGTAAAAGAAAGCAAGCCTGTAATGTCGGCGGGCGCAACCGGAGATGTTAAAGTAGAGGCCTTTTGATGTGCGGAAGAGTTTCCATATCCCGAAACCAGATTCCCTGAATGGAGGCCGGTTCGTTTTTCCAAGCCCGAAACCTGCTTGGTTGGATCCATGTTGCCTTCTTGCTCCTCAAACAGGGTCAACGATTGTTGAGTCTAGCTGCAGCCATGGATCCTCTGGTCACCCAAAAGTCGAAGGGGTCCGACTTGATGGTGTTGCCATTTTTTTGGCGTTGATTGCCCTTCTTAGGGGAACACCTATTCAGATAAACCTGTGTTCAACTTAGATGTTACTTGTTTGTGGTCTTGTGGTTGTTTGCTTGTACTGCGGCCCTCCCATGCTCGTTTGCTTGTCCCGGATGCCACCAGAATCATGAATCATGTTTGGGTCCATCTCATTTCCACCCCTTGCTTTGAGCATCGTAATCGACCCTCAGCCAAAGGTGAACTGTTTGCGGTTGAAAGCAAAAATGAAGGGAAAAGTGAAGTGAAAGATGAAGGGACACCAAAACTGCAAAAATTGAAAAGGCGAGTCTGGCAATGCATCATGCTCATCCTTGGCTTTGTCGCCGAGTGACCTCCCCTCGCCTGATTGGGTGTATCTTTCGTAAGGTGCTCATATGGTCTTCCCAAAATAATACTCTCCAGCAGCTTGGGACAATTCGTTCGGGACCTTTCCCCAATGTCCGTGGCAATCCGAACAGGGTGTTAACCTATGTTGAAACAGATCCATATTTTGCCCTTTTCCCTTTTGCATTTTGCTTCAACCGGCTATGGACACACTCCGGTCTGACTGGAGAGTCCCAAATGTTTATGAAAGACTTTTAGAGCTCCCCATGTTACACACTTCTGTATGTATAGTTTCAGCGCACCTCATCCAACAAGCGGATATCACTTTGTAAAACCCCGCATCGTGTCTTCCTTTTTGGGAACGCCCTTTGTTCAAAGGGAAGCAAAGGGAAAACCAACTCAGATGCCCAGTGGCCACGGGTTAAAAAGGGCATCCTGTTTTGGCTGGTTTCGCCACATTGCTCAAGACCCCACCCCCCACCCCAAATTGGAGTGAGTGGAGCCCACATCCCGGCCGAAGCCAAAACTCAGGCCTTCCCGCCAAGGGGAGGGGCAAAGAGTGATTTTTATCCAAGAGGGAGCGTGTGGTCATTGGCAAAATTTGTCACTTGGCAAATCCTTTCTTGGCTGGTTGAGTTCAAACGCGAACCCGTCCCCAAAAAAGGAAATTACACCAGTATAGGCCCCAGCTAGCACGCAGCCGTCAATCTCGCAAATCACTTCCCCCTCTTCATTAGAAGTTAGAACCCCTATAGGCCCTATAGCTTTCAGCTATCTGCGGAAAAAAACAAAAAAAACAAAAAAAAAACACGGCACAACTGAGCCAACCAGTTCTGGCGCCGACTCTCCTGGAAAAGGCGCACGGCCAAAGCTTCGCAGCTATCCGGGCGCAGCACCTGAAAAGTATGACTCATGGAAGCACCTGGCCCATGCCCCAAAAAGCGAAACGGGTGGCTCGTCTTTTTCGGAGTTGGTATCCCCAAAAATAAGACACGCCCAAATCAAACGAGTAACGCAATCGCAGGAAGACAACTACGTCAAGCACAAACTTCCTCGACTGAGCTTGGGCGGCTCTGCACATGCATGCCTGGTCCTTTCAGTCTGACCCAGAACCAAGTTGCTGAGACTGATCCGCTGAGACACCATCAAAACCTTTTCAGGCTTCTTCGCAACCGCCACACGAGCGCACGTCGGGCAGGGATGCAGGGGTAATAGCAATCTACTGGAAACCCACACACACACACGCCACACACACACACACTGGTGATGGGAAATATCCAAGACCGAAGAAGGTGGAAAAGTCGAAAGCCTTAAGCCAATGCCTGTAGCAGGTGCCTCCGCCCCCCTCTGTCCCAGCCTGGCGTCAAAGAAGGTAAGCTTCAAGCTGATTTTGCTGAAATCGAGCATTGAAATGGAAAATGACCCAGCAGTCACCTCTGGCTTTGAGTGATTAACGGCGTGAAGCAACAATTGCAACACCCACATTTGGTAGCAGGTACGTCCGGATGATCAGTCCGGATATCTTCCCAACTCATGAGCAGCTTCGTTGGCAGTGGGCTCATGAGCGGGCCACTGCCCCCTGCTTGTGAGCCCCAAAAGGGCAGCCAGGTTTAAGAAGCTTGGTTTCTGGACGGGCTTTTTACACAGGTCCAAACGGTGTCCTTTGCAAACATAGCACTGACGTGACCCAATCAAGTAGGGTTAGCGGTGTCCAACGTATTTCAAATGCGGGGAAGCCTCTCCAAGAACACTGAGTTCAGAACAATGAAAAGGAAAGAAAACCGGTTTCAAACACAGCATTTCGTCCGACATGTGCTAACGGTCAGTTCAGACGAACCCAGAGCTCTACCAAGGGATCCATGCATCCGTGCAAGTCCCCAAGACCATAAAACGTCACCCAAAAACTCGTCTTTTGGGGGCCGAATCTGGCAAGTCGGCAAATGTCAGGCTCTGCAAGCTGTCAGGCAACAGCAGTCAGACCCCGGTCAAACCTTGGAACGGAAACCTTGAGCCTGAACGAAAAGGTGAAATAACCAGCGTGCGGCGGGCAGCATGATTTCTTTCATCGGTGTTTGTTTCGTCGAAGGGTTGCCCTTCAGGGTGAAACAGCTGAGGAGACTACAGGGGCTACAAAAATATCGCGGGCTTCAGAAGTCCACAAGTGGAAACGTTGCAACATGTCACGGGCAATTGGTAAGAGAGACGCGAAAGGAATTCCTTGAGTAGCATACATCCAGACCGAATCCTGAGCTTGGTGAAGGATTAATCGACGGGGCCGTACATACCTGCAAACCAAAAATAAGCGGGCACGTAAGCCCGACAGTATGGCCGTTTGTGCCCCGGCCGAGCGAAAACTTCGCAGCGCATGTGGAGTGACTGGCAGTCTTAGTGGAATTGATCTTTGAAGGGGGTCGATCCGGAATCCCAGAACAAGATCATCCTGAACAACTTCTAGTTCAAGGCCGACCGTAAAACCACGGCCAGCGAAGAATTCAAATCATGACCTCGTAGCGGAGTATTGACCAATAGCAAAATGCGGTTGTCCACATATCGAGCAAGGAGGGCATGTTGGATCCAAGTACTTGAGGCCTGTAAGGACTCGACAAATGACCATTCCCGGAAAACTGCAACAATGGAGCACAGAACCGGCGCCCACTGTGAACCCATTGAGGCCCCACATGTTTGCTGGAAAACTGTTCCGCCAACGGTGAAAAGGCTGTACTGAAGTAGCACGCCCACTAGGGGAACAACATCCCGAAGTTGCAAAACCCTGACCGTAGACCCGGGCCGCCGCCATCTGCCCTTGAAGACTCGTTGAACACGTTCAGCATGTTGCGTGGTAACCGAGAAATCCGAGTCAATAGAAACGTCTTGAAGTTGAACATACCGGTGGATCAAAAACTGCACGCACGTCAAAATTCGATGGTGCTCAACATTGTTGAAAAACCCTGCTAAATCTTGCTGGTCCAAGACAATTTCCATGTGCACAGCATTTTGGTGAAAGATGCGCCAAATAGACCGAAGAATGAGATCAGTACGTTGGGTTTTGGCCTCATGTGGAAAGACTGTCTCCAAAAATATCAGCAGCAGGATCGAAACTGCCTGTCCAATTCTGGAGCACCACGAGCCGCGGCAGCCTAGTATTGGCCTGGCCTTGTTCCATTGTCGTGAGGGTTTCGGTAGTAGATAGGCAAACGGTAAGTTTCCCGAAAAATTCCATCCCCATCTGTACTTCCGAACCAGATCTCTTGTAATCATGGAAGGCAACCGTGAAATAATCGTCATTGGGCTTGGTGAAGCCGTCGGAAAACATCAGGGTTGAGAAAGGTACGATGCAACAAGAAATGGTAGTGGCCCGGACAGGTCACGCACATTGCGTGAGGATGGTGGCCGGCTGGGCCCCGGACCCAACCATTTGTACGAGCGGCAAGCCGGGTGACACCCAAATATGTCCATGAATCAGTTGCCCGTTTAGAGAAAGACTGACGGTGTTCGTCCCAACTTGTTGACAGAAACTGGTTCCAGTAATGAATGAGTCTATCAGGTAAACGCCAATGCGCAAGCCATTCTGTGAATTGGGTGGCATTGTGCACAAAGAACCTCTGCCAGCTTGGCCGAATCGTGTCATTCATATTGGCCCAAGAAAGGGGTTCATCCGGCCACAAATCACTACCAAAGGCGCAAACGTGTCCAGTAATCTGGGAAAAGCTCTCCCCAGTGACCTTGCCACAGATGCAAGTCGGGTCAACGTCCGGCTGCCAGTCCCGCAAAAATTAGTTGAAATTGAACAGCAATGCCCCAAGGCTCTGACAGCGAACTTCACATACTGGCCGAGAAGGAAGATGCATTGGTGGGAACAAAGCCCTATGGTGTTGACAAAAGGCTTGAACCTAGTCTTTTGCTTTGAGAATAAAGGAAGGTCGGGCAGGGAATACACGAAGAATCTTATTGGACACCGGAAGCGCTCCTCCTCTGAAGACAAGAATCAGCCGCAGTTGATTTACAGCTCGGGTGCGCCATGGTTCCCCCATATGTTGCGACATTTTGACCAGAGAATATAGAAACGGCAAGGGTGCAGCACGACTCCGCAACAAACGGGCAGTGTTGAATTTGGCCACACCCTCACTGCCAAGTTCATGAAGTAACCGTAACACGTCCTCCTGACTACGTACATGAAAAAGCCTGCCCTCACTAAGGCGCTGTCGCCAGAGGCGGGAAAATCTCTGTGTCAGTTGTCTTCCTATCACCCCAGAATGTGTCATATTCAGAACGTAGTTTGGGACCCGTAAGCCGACTTGACGAAGCAAAGGTGAAATCCAGGTTGAGTTTGAGTTGAAACTGAATTTGCAAGTTGAGTTCACATGCCTGAACGTCTCTTTCTCGTAGGGCAACAGGAATGACTATGTATTGATAAAAGGTTCCGGTAGCCTGACTCGGCTCTGTTCTCTCTCATGTAGGGTGTCGAGGCCACCAAACGAGGGAGGGCAAGGCCATGTTGGAGATGTGTGTCAATGTGGGCATCATCTGCGCGCCACTCTTTGGGGACAGGAAAAAGTTTTTCCCAAGGCACAGAAGACGCCGCAGACGAAGGCCGGCGCCAAACCACAAGCTGTCTGGGGCTGCGAGACCGCTGACCCGGACTGAGGCCCCTGCGCTCTCCCGCGAGAACCGCCCGGTCATCCCGGTGTGAGCCGTCACCCTGGTGACTCTCACGGCGCGCACGGGTGGAAGCCCGATGTCGGGAGCGGGACCGAGAATCCCGCGTCGACCGCCCCATGTGCGCTTAGAGAACACGACTTACTGAGTTTCCGTCAGCTAGCAGGAACCAAAGAAGTCACAAGCTCAGGCAACAAGTCGAGTCAAGGTAAGACAGTCCAACACCTAGCCAGGAAGCTCAAGCAAACCATCCTGTCCTGACGGGTCAGCTGGTGGTAGGGGTCCACAGCTGAAACCACACCCAGGCTCTGCAGCTCGAAACCAACTCTGGACTCAACCGGTCTGAAAAGGGGTGTCTCGAACCGGAAGCAACGACGAAAAGAAACGAAACAATTGAGCGAGGTCCAGTCTTTGGGACGGCTGACGGCTGCAGAGCATGTTTATCTGGGGAAAAACACTGCCAAGCCTAATGGTTGGGCCACGTGGGAACGGATGAGCCATCGCTTGTCCCCCGCTCCATGAACGCAATCGTAAAAGAAATTGGCAGCGTGCTCGGAGAGCACGCCTCCCGACCTTAGACTCAAGTGGCCCTGGCGTATGTACGCTCGTCCGAAGACAGCTACAGGGCATGCCTGATTTACACCGCCGAAACCCCATGCCTTGCGCATGCCTTACAGCATTGCAAGTTTGAAAGAGTCCTCACTCAAGTCACTGGCTGGGTGGGCTCGACTATAAAATCCATAGGTCGGGAGCCATGAGTCATCAGCCCATGATGATGGTGGACAAAGACCCTCTTTCAGGATGTTTGCAGCTGAAGGACCTGTTGTGTTGTGGAAAAACGCAACGTGTTGGAGCGGCTGGCTTGGGTTGTGATCGCGCGTGCGCTGGGTGCATGCAAACCAGAAAGGCCTTAGGCTGCGAGTTGACCTCGACCACCTCAACCCCCTGAACTCGGTCAACCAGTTCCTCTGCCCACGCCAATGTTGAAGTCAGCTGTCTGAGAACTCCTGGGGACGAATGATCATAACCTGGGTAGTTCTGGTGAAACAAGGTTATGAGCCAGTCCATGATATGCGGAATGGTGGCGTTCTGCACTTCGATGGGTTGAAATCCTCTCTGGCCTGAAAGTACTCTTCGGGGGGTGGCCTTTCCATCAGATCCGAAGTAGGCCGATCCCACCTCAACTGGGCAACGAATCCAGAAAGGGTCACTGACAAGGAGGTCTCGAAAACAAGCAGCACGTCGTAAATCGCCCACCAGGGTACCTCTGCAGACTCCCTCGTCATGGACATATGAAAACCCGTGTCGGGCTTGAGACTCGGCTTCTACAGGTTGTAGAGGCGATTCCATTGCTTCATTGCAATGAACTGCTCGAACCCATACCCAGAACGCCTCCCATCTTTGGGCTTGAAGTGCCAAGCATCTGCAGGGACGTTACTGGGTCGAAGTGGTTGCCCTGAGCTAACAGAAGCTGTTGCGCCATCTCTGGTGGTTGGTTAAAGAAGGGGTAGTTTGAGGTCCTCCCCCGGATGTTGCACCGAAAATTGCCCGAAGATTCGCTTGTGCCAGAGCGGACCCAAAAGTTGCAGCTGCCACCGCATCCTGGATCATGACCCGCAGCATAGCGGGGTCTTCCGCTCTAAGGCACAAGAAATGCCAGAACCAAGGTGCAGCGTAGCTCCAGCGGGTCGGCTAGCTTGCGGTGCAGGCCCCACAGTCTGAGGCCCCGAGCAAAACACAGACCCGTCTGCCATCAGCACTCCAGGGTGGCCCCGGACTTACATCTGGCTACCACCAAGGGGTCAGAGTTCATGGCCCCGGACTACAAGGCTCGAGAAGCAAATTGCTAAGACAGGCGAAGTAAATTCAACTCAGTGTCAATTCCGGGGTGGCCATGGGCTTAGAGGCAAAGAACGCCGACAGCAAAACCACAGTTAACCCCATGGCTTCAGCATGGCTAAGTGGAAAGCTAGCATGCTAAGTGGAAAGCTAAGGCAAGCACTATCAGTGATTCCCAGTATGACTCCAAAACAACTCTGCTCAGAAAGAGCTTCATCCGCGGAATACCCCGCTCCTTCTGGGCTTTTGCCCACCTTGTGGGCGTACGCCCAAGTTCGTGTCTGTGCATTCTGGGGCTCGCACCGTCATCGCGTTCGGTCTCCCGTTGGGGATTGTCAGCGTTTCTTTACCTGTCGCGGTTCCAGGGCCGTGCCCAATCTCTCTACACCGGCCCCCGCGCACCAATGAGGCCGGCGGACATCGGCATGCCACCCAGATGGGGCATACCGAGGGCTAAAGCCCACACACTGGTGATGGGAAACATCCAAGACCGAAGAAGGTGGAAAAGTCGAAAGCCTTAAGCCAATGCCTGTAGCAGGTGTCTCCGCCCCCCTCTGTCCCAGCGTGGCGTCAAAGAAGGTAAGCTTCAAGCTGATGTTGCTGAAATCGAGCATTGAAATGGAAAATGAATGAAAATGACACAGCAGTCACCTCTGGCTTTGAGTGATTAACGGCGTGAAGCAACAATTGCAACACCCACATTTGGTAGCAGGTGCGTCCGGATGATCAGTCCGGATATCCTCCCAACTCATGAGCAGCTTCGTTGGCAGTGGGCTCATGAGCAGGCCACTGCCCCCTGCTTGTGACAAACAGTCCGCGATTTCGAGCAACGCTCTCCCTCGAATGGTGCGGGCTGTCACACACACACACACACACACACACACACACACACACACACACACACACACACACACACACACACACACACGCACCCACCTCATGAACTTGCACACTCGGGCGAGGGCACTTATCATTTGGCAGATGCGCGCGCAGTTGTGGACGCGCACAGTCAAGCGGGCGTAAAATAGTGTCCTGAATCGGGCTGAAATGAGTTGCGACTCGTCAGTAGCTTCCTGAATCGCAGCGAATAGCTTCTGAATCCCGTGAGATTGAGATAGTTTCCTGGGTCGCGCCTCATCTAGACAGGGGAGCTTGGAAGAACGCTGCACAGAAAGACCAACGCACCTCGCTTCAGGCCCCCGCTCTTTTCTTGTGAAGCCGGTGTGCATCCGCCCCAAAACGCACGCATAGGCTATGACCCATGGCCAAATGAGCCAAAAACAGCTCAGCTCCTTGCAATTCCCGAGACCCAGCCTGGACAGCCGCCAGCAGCGGCGGCAGCGCCATACTCAAACGCGCGAGCCGCAGCCAGTGCCACGAGAAGCCCACAGCCGCCAGAGCGAGACCTCGAATGGCTCCAATGACTCAATGGCTGTGACAGCCCCAACAGGTCTCAGGGTCCGTGTCAGAGAAAGGTTGACAAGAACAGCCACTGGAACCAAACGGAAAAAAAGGAGGGGCAGGAGAAGGAGAAGGAGAAAGAGAAGAAGAAAAAGAAAACAAATGGAAAGAAGGAAAATATAGAAAGAGGAAGAGACAGAGAAAGAGCAACAGAAAGACAAGGCGGACAGAAGCGCGCTTCAATCTATGCTTCGTATAAGTTTGAAACTTCCGACCCCCGGCTTCGCCAGCTATGCTGGTATTGCCCTTTCAACAAACATGGAAGTGCACAGTATGTCCCCCTCAAAAGGAAAGTGCCTTCCAGAAATGGGAGATGATCATAATTGCCGCTTGTCCCTTGGGGGTATTGGTTTGGGGATAGTGAAAACCACCTTAGAAAGAGCCCTCTGGCCAAGATGCACAGGAAGCAGCAGCAGTGCAGCTCATTAATCTGCGGCGCGGACCCCCCAAAAAAATAATCCGTGTTTCGCGCATGCGCCGAATGGTCAAAACTCTGTCAGCCAGTTCCCTCAGCGGGAATCCTTGCTATGTGCACCGCATTTTCTCAGGGACTGCCTTGAACCCGCACGACTGCACAACTGCACGACTGCACAACTGTGCGCCTGCGGCTGCACATAAGGCTGCGTCATGGCAATTGCGGCAGCCATGCCCAGCGTGATGGCCAGAGCAAAGCAGAGGCCATCCTCTTTGAGGACCACCTCACATGCTCTCGCGGTGTGCTTGCTGCCTGCTGTCACAGGGAACTGTCATTCTGCTCTGGCCGACTTTCCCGGGTGAAAGCTGATCATGCTGGACCATGTGGGGTCCCAGAATGCAATCCCGGGTGTAAAAGAAAAACCCTTGGATGCGTGCTGTCTCGTGCAGATTTGCCTGGGGTTGTGAAAAGAGTCATCCAGGAATCATCCACTTATGTATGCCGCCTCGGAAGAAGAAAACAAAACTGCAGGAATACTCCGACCTATCTTCGGCCGCTGCCAATCCCTCAATTTAACCGCCCATCTGATGGGTTAGTCCTGACTCGCGGGGTTGGACCGCGAGCTCCTAGATACATGTCACGAGATGCGTCGGTCACAGAGGCCATGTTGTGTTTTCTTCTTTCTTCTTGTTGTTCCTTTATGTTCTTTATTTTTGATTTTCGCTAAGAGGCGGCCACCAGGGCGACGGCCAACAGTTTCAGCACCACCTCCATCCAAACGTAGCGGCAGAAGGCCTCGGTCACTTGGAAGGCACGGATTTGGCGAGCCACGTCGCGGATTTGTCCACATTTGTTCCAGCCCCAAAGCCAGCAAGGGGATAGAAGTTGCCCCACCTACTGCTGACCCCCTGCCCGCAAAGAAAGGAAAGCCGACCCATACCTCCTGTTCCCCAGCCCCATTGAACCCTGGCGGTAGCTTGACTTGCTTGAGCATTGCTGCCGCGCCACATACTTAAAGAACACCTCCTTGGCGCCCGCCAACAATCCTCAGCTGGCTGTGGGTCAAGAATATGTGCCCAACATGGCTTGCGAATTTTGACCCATACCCGGCTCATACCGACCGCCAACCACCCCTCCGACCCTCCCCTTGCACGGGATCCTTCGTGGACTCCAAGGCAGAAGCCCCGAACAGTGGCAGCCCCAAAATCAAATCCAGGACCTTTTGGACAGGTTCCCTTTAGCTACTGCAAGACGATCCTTATTGCGGATTGCGGGCCTTTCCACACATTTCCCCTTGTACCTAACCATGCGCATTTCCTGGATGCCCTTCATTCACCAGCGCTCAGAAAGCAGGAATGGCTGTGATCTTGTATTCAGGGGCAGTCAGGCGGCGTCTGCTTTTGAACCTGGTTGCACAAGCGTGCGCAAAAGGCCCACTGCTGAATGTTGAAACTGAAAATCATAATTAGTACGGTGCGGCAAGTACAAGTCACGGTAGTGGCAACCGTAGCAAGAAGGTGGCAAGGTAGCCTGGTCCCTCACATTGATAACTACCCCGGGATTGCTTTTCCTGTGCTACATATGTCCACCGAAAAGCACATACAGCAAAACATTGCTTGCGACCAACATGCCAACATGCAAGAAATCCCTTCACGCCATTGAGCACAAGCACTAACGGCAAGGGGGTCCGTGTTTTTTTGCCGACCAGACCCTTAAACCCGGACCTCTCATCATCCCTGCTCTCTCGAACTGTCCTGCCAAAGGCTCTGTCATGCTCCACAGCTTCCTCCACTACGCACCGCTCCGTCAGCATCTCCACGATCTGACGGCAGCGCAACGTCTCTGCGGTGGACTTTGCTTGGAGCGTCTCCACCAGACTCCCAACCTGAGCCCAGCGGGGGATCCAACTTGAGTGCAGGTTGGTACTCCTGCCAATTTGACACGGACCCAAAGAGGGAATAGGTCCCATATGCAGAAAGGAGTCTCACAGACCGGGCGTGTATCTGCAAGGAGGCTAGCCTCCCAGAACGCGCAGGTGAGCTTCTGACGCGAAGCAAGAGTCTTCGCAGAGGGTGCCCACACGTGCAAACGAGGACCATGTGCGGCACGGGGACACGATGCTGACCAAAGCCGCCATAGTTTTACCCGCTTCGCTGGAGGCAAAAATCAGAACGAGCTGACATCCAAGCGGCCAACCCCAAAACACGTACAGATTTCGGCATCTATTGACAGCAAGAGGAGGGTGGATTCTCCCATGCGTCACAATGTGGAGCTGTCATTTTTCAAGTGGCCCGAAAGGCAGTTGGCACCCCAAGTGTTCTAGCTCAATGCCCTTGTCTTAAGGCGTTCAACAGACGCCAAAGCAAGAGCTGCCAGACATCAACAAGACATTCAGAATGCATCCTAAAGCTTTGTACACCAAGCAAGCGCCTTCTTGTGAGAAGCCCAGAAAGCATGCTCCCAAGCCTACATTGCACACCATGGTGAGAGGGAAAAGTCAAACCTGCCCTGCTCAAACCCCAAGCTCGTGCCCTGCCCTCCCTCCCGCCCAACAAAAGAAGCGGCATTCAGCTCCACGGCGTCCCCACGATGGTCCACTGCTGTCATCTTCCTGAGATGACAGGCGCGACCCAGATACAGTCTGACATGGACCCACCTCTGAGGCAAATGGTCTCCCAGAACCCCCAGTCAGACTCCACTTGAGTGGATGAGAGGGTGCCATTTCGGAGATTAAGAGCGCAGCCGACAAGCAAGGGACCACCACTAAAGAAAAGCAAACAATCAGTTGAGGGAAACAGCCCAACATCTTTGTCGTAACGCAAAAAAAAAGAGCAAAAACGCCTTCAAAGACGCATTGCTGGGCTGGTAGCAAGTCGAATTGCGTTAGTCTCAATAACACCTACTTGAAGCATCTAGGTCTTTTTTCTAAACGGTTGAACCATGTTTCTTGCCTGACGATACGACCAAAGTGACCTGTTCTGGGTTGGTCAAGCTCAGTTGAAAAACAGATGTCCACGTGCGGCTGTTTAGTGGGGGAACACTCATTTTTGCACAGGTTAAACGACTGAAGGTCACTACCAAAGAGCAACCAAACATCATTCCAGCCGGCCAACTCTGCTGCCCCCCCCCCCCAGCTTTTGCCAGCATTGTGTGGCTCTTCTCCCATCTCCAGAACCTGAAATTGACCAGGGAAACCAAATCAAAACCAAGGAAAACCAAAGCGAAATCGAGGGCAAACCAAAGAAACCAGAGGGAAACTGCCACTTCTGTGGTTTCGAGCACCTTTCGCACGTCAAGGATCGCCTCGCCCGACTGCAGCTGAAGTGTCGCCTGGGGCTGCGCCACTTCAGCCCCAACAAGCGGCATGCGGACCAGAAGGTTTCAGGGTTCCATCGGATGGGGTTGGAAGGTTTCAGGGTTCCATGGCGTATTCGCAGGGTTTCCGGGCGCCGGAGGGTCCCATGAAGCAGTTGCTTCATTGCATTCCTGGTGGTTCCGGTGAGTCTTGGAGAATTTGCGGGCTGGCTTGCAGAGCCTCTGCAGGCTGGGGTTCCCGATCGGTTCCCGAGCGTTGCTTTTGGGGATACCACCTAGGGAAATAGTAAAAGGCGCTCCTTCCAACCAGCTTTTACCTGAAGATTGGGGTGGGACATGTTAACCAATCAACCAACCAAGCCCAACCAAACCAAACCACACCAAACCACACCAAACCAAACTAAACCACACTGAAACCAAACCAAACCAAACCAAGCCAAGCCAAACCCAACCCAAGCAAGCAAGCAAGCAAGCAAGCAAGCAAGCAAGCAAGCACGCAAGCAAGCAAGCAAGCAAGCAAGCAAGCAAGCAAGCAAGCAAGCAAGCAAGCAAGCAAGCAACCAACCAACCAACCAACCAACCAACCAACCAACCAACCAACCAACCAACCAACCAACCAACCAACCAACCAACCCCCCTAGCCTAATTACCCCCTCCCACCCACCCACCCACCACCCACCCACCAACCAACCAGGAGATGCTGTTGAATCTGCCCAAGGGAAGGTAACCGCAAGGTCATGTTGAAACCACTCTCCAGCCATGGGGAAGAAGGGGCATCCTTTCTTGGTGCATGAGTCTTGATTCTGAAGGGAATCCCCGTCCAAGAAAGCTGGCCTCGCCGTCCAAGAAAGCTGGCCTCGCCCCTCAGCAGCACAGCCATGTGGGCCGCACAGGAGGCGAGCAACCAGGAGTCTGGAGCCTTGCCAAACCCAACATCGCGCCGCTTGAAAAAGCGGTCTTCCAGCCCGCCGAACGGTTCCATGTAACCACTTTCAAAGGCGAGATGGAGGAGCACGAATGGGGCAAACGATCGCTGGCATCCAAACGAGCGAGTCATGTTGACGCGCTTTTGAAACAGAATCCACCTAGCCACCTGGCCCAAATACCTAAGATGGTGAAAAATGGGCGACAAACCAAAACCCATTTCACGGCCATGCTTCGCCCCTCAGGCTTTTTCCCCGTGTTGCTTCTGAAAGAGGCGTGTTGCTTTTGAAAGAGGCGTGGAGTCTCCGTGTATGTCGAGCCCCAAACTCCCATGTTTTTGTTCGGTATCGAATTTCGCAAGGTGAAGCCATCGATCGGGATCGATGGTTCGATTCCTGTCTGAGTTGTTCGCCCCGACTGACCGGTCAAGGAAAGGCACCCTTGTGACAGAGGTGGAGTGCCCCAAATGATAAATTGACGGACCATCAATTCTTTCCAACTCACCTAACTTTCCGGCTGGTCGTATTGCTCTGGTTAACTGCTTGCAAGGTGACCAACTGACCCCATGCCCCCATGCCCCCCTGCCCCCCCCCGCGCCTTGAGGCCCTTCTCGCTCGCCCCTTGGCGCAGGGGATGGAGCCGCGTCAGCAGCTGGCCCTCCGAGGATTCCGCCAGCGCCACGCTGGTCTTGCACACCTTCCTCGCGTTCCCCTCGCTTCTAGGGGTACCTTCCCCATTCTTTCCAGGGATCCTTCTTTTGGGAAAACCATCAAAAACCCAGGGGAAACAGCAGGCTTTTTACAGAATGGGGAATCAGCCCCTAGATCCTTGGGTGCGTGTCCCAGCACAGTTGGCTTCTTGCTGGTCTTCATTCAAATGCCGCAGAGGGGGGGGGAAAAAAAGTGTTGAGAAATCCGTGGTTCGTGGCTTGGGTTGGTAGTTTGGAGGTTGGGGCCCTTCTCATTCAGATTAAAGAAACCCATCCCCAAACTACGCATCAAAACCACAGAAGGGTACCTGATTGGAGGCTCAAAGAACGAAACAACTTGGGAGGAGATACCCTGGGTTGGTCTTAGACCCAAGCGATGCAGACATCTCTAGCTGGAACTGTTCGCGGGATGCCCTAAACCATGTGGGGATCACAAATCCATTTGTGGATTCATGGCTACGCAAAGGGGGGCAAAACGGGGATGCCATTATGTTGGACCCTTTTGTGGATCCAAGAGGGCAAAGGGAATCCAAGAAAAGGGGGCCGTTGCATTTTGAAGAACCACAAGCTGGGCATCGGTACCTGGGTATATAAGTCCCCATTCTTTTCAATCCGAATCTTTCCAAACCATCAAAAACCCTGAGGCAAACCATGATGTACACTAGATTTCATTCCCACCAAATGTTGCACGCGATTCGCACTGTGGGCCACTCAGGAGTTACACTCCATCCACCAAAACACGGAACCTGACTCGGGGATCCGTAGATTCCTCGCGACCCTCTGGCGATCGGATCCCATGTTAGCGGTGGACGAGAAACAAACGTAACAAACAAAAACAACTGGATTTGTGCAGCCATCCGAAATGGGGTCAAAGACATTCACGTCTTTGTAAACGAAATGTGCAAAAAGAAACCCTCAACTTTGTGAGCATGCAAGGATTTGAGAAGGATTTTCCTCCAATTCCGACCAAGCCGTTCCTCGGCGAAGAGAACCAAGAGAAACATGCGACCAGGCTGTCTGCTCCAAAAGTAGGGCGGCGTTGGGATTCGGAGGGAGCACATGCCGCAAGGGAAGGAGCGGACAAGACACCCACAAGAACAAAATGGAACAATCCGGCAAATGGAAGGTCCAAATAAGTACCGGTCACAAGGTCACATGTTGTGCTGCCTTTCAAAGGGGCTGTGTTTGTCAGCTCCTCTTCCCAGCTGGGCGTTCTCGGCCACTTTTGGCCGCTCGGCCTAACTTTAACTGGATTCCGCCCGCATGAAAAGCAAACATATTCGCACGCGAGGCCGATGCGAAGGAGTGTCAGCAGCAAGTGCTGCCGCAGGAAGAGATACAGCAAAAGGCAGGGGATGACAAAGCCGTAGACCACGGCAGTGCTGTAGCCAACGGCATCCACCTGTCGTCATTCTCCCTCTGAAAACCTCTGGCCCATAAGTGTCCTTCTAGGCGAAATAGATGGATTTCCCTGGTAGATTGATTAAACCACCAGGTAAACCAGGAATCGCCATCTACTTTTTCTACCAAAACAACCAAAAAGGACACCTATGCTCTGGCCTTTCAAGTGACTGGTCACTGGTCCAGGCATGTACCTCCTGAACGCGAAGAAGCGTCGGGTGGCCGGCTCAATGACAGAAACAAAAGACTGGCTCATTGGTCATGATGCCCTTGACAGGAAGAACCCTTAATTACAATGATTGACCAACTTGTCAGGGCGGTTTTCTTGAATTTCTTATTGAGGTCCTATTAAGCCTGAGTAACCAGGTGTTTTGAACGCAGAGGGGAGCCAGACAGTTGGTTTCTCCTTGGTTGCCCGAAAACGGCAGTCGAGTTACCCACATGTTCCAAGGCATGGACAGAGGCCTAAAATTGGAAGCTAACCAAAGCAAATCACGGCTCGTGGCCGAATTTACTCAGCATGGGTCGCTCAAACGAGGGCACAACTATATCTTCTGTAGTTGCGCAAGCCCTTTCAAAACAAAATCGGTTGACCATCCTATCATCTCACCAGCCCCCAAGGAAAAAGGGCTGTTCCGACCCGCGAACACCATACCCTCTCGGTCTCTCGGCCGAGCGACCCAGCGGCTCAGGGGCGAGGTATCTAGGCAGCTCAGCTGCGGCAGCGCCTTGCGAAAGGCGAAGTGCCCCAAGTCTTGGCCGCCTGGCGACCAGGCGACCGGAACTTCCGAGCACGGTGACAGCAAGGTGTCTGTGTTCATGTCTATGAGTCTCAAATGAATATATATATATATATATAATATCTATATCTGTATATCTATTTACATATAAAGTGGTTTCAATGCCGTATGCTTCTTGGTTTTGGGTGCACTGGTTTTGTTGAGGTGCATGTTGTTGTAGGTTGCTTGCAACAGTTAGACACGTCCTTTGTGCCGAGCCTTCCACATTGCTAAATACCCAGTCTTTCCCCCTTTAGTCATCATTTCCCCAGAATAGGAAACTCACTGTAAGTTGGCAATTCCAAAGATGATGCTTAAGAACCACCCGTTGAGGCAAATTACAAAGACCCCTATTTCTTGTCCTGGTTGACAGCCAAAAAACGAACAAATCATCTGTGGGTTCCCTTTCAACACCATCCAAAGGTCCAAAGGGAATCCAACAAAAACTAGCCATTTAAAAAGCCGGCGCGCTTCTTTTGGATAAAATTGTGCCACATGGAGTCTTAGATTTTCCGACACCTCCACCAAAACCCAAATCCTCGAGGGTGACGAAAAAAACCCACTGTTGCCGGCAGGGTTGGGCCCCACCGAAACCTCTTTGGGTGCGTCGTGTTTTTTTTGCTGGTACCCAGCCTTTCTTGTGGTTACAAAGGAAAACCAAAAGAACAACTTTTTTGCGGGTACCCACCCCCCTTTCTTGTGGTCACAAAGGAAAGCTAAAACAACAACCACCCTTTTTGGGCCTTCCCCTCGTTTAACGACACCAAACTTCTGATGCGTCCCCTAAACCCGTATCAGACGACCGCCTCCGTCCAGGCGCTGGCAGCTCAGCAGCCGCCCGCAGCTGCATGCGCCGCCGATGAAGAAGAGCGTCAGCGCCTTGAAGGCGCTGCTGGCGCCTTCGCGCGGCGTGCGGCGCGTGGCTCGAAGCTGTCGAGCAGTTTCTCTCTCAGGGAACAGATACTGTGGATGGATGTGAAATCACAACCTTTGTTGGTATTGGCAAGAGAATCATCAGACACCAGGGTTTCTGAGTCGGCACCCATATGGCGTGTCTGGTTTTGGAAAAGCGCAAGGATAGCATACAGAAGCGGCAACAAGACAGCAGCACACACGGGAGGCAAGGGCCATGTTGGCCACACGTTTGCCAATATTGGCCTGTGTTGTTTCATTAATTGAATGCGGGGCTTTTCGAGCCCCCGTAACAACCCCTAATCAGTCCCCCATTCCGGCCCATCTGGGTGTTTCTCAAAACAGTCCCTCAAAACAGGCGGTTGCGTTTGATATTCCCTACAACCAAAATGGGGGGTCCATTTGGAGGAAGTTTCTGTTTTCCACCTCCATGTTTAACCGAAACGTGTTTTGAAAAGGCTCCTAGCATGTTTAACCCCGCCCCCTTTTGATTTTTTCGGAGAAGCTCCCCCCCATTTTGAGCCTCTGCCGGCCAAAAAAAACGAGAGCACGAGAGCCGGAAACACTCAAGACTCAATTCTGGCGCCCCAACCCCAAGCCCACCATCAACTCCCTTGCTGTCGGGCCCGCATCATTCGCCTGTCGGACCCGAAGGATGCATTGCCGGTCAACACCTTCCCTGTCCGAACAAGAGCTTCTTCTCTCGGATGGGCACATCGCGCAGTGCTCGCACGTGTCCTTCGACCCGGAAGCCTTAAAGAAATCCAATGGCTCGGGGATGCCTTTCCTGGGGCCAAAACCAACCCTTAACATCGCAAAAAGGCTTTGCGGTGCTTCTCTTGGGGCCAAAGCCGGAGGGGGCATGGATTTGTTTTTTTGCGAAAAAAAGGGGCCGTTGTTTGGCAGTTGTTTTTGGGGATGATTCACCGCAGCACCGAGCTGCCCAGGGAGAACTTGCAGAGCTCCAGCGCCCCGCAGAGCAGCAGCACCAGCAGCGGCAGCAGCGGCGCCGCCAGCGCCCCCAGCAGCCGCACCGCTTGGGCGTCGAAGAGGCACTGCACCTGGAAGCTGTCCTGGCGAAACCGACCCATGGCTGTGGTGCTCAAAATCCAGGTCTTGGGTACTGGTTTCATATGTTCTTCCAAAAAAACTCAAGCAAATGAAACATATTCTTGAGAACTAGGTGGTGGTGGTCAAAATCCAGGGTAACCCCAAAATGGCTTGGGATGTGTGACTCACCTGGGGTCCCCTACTGGATGTTTGACCCATTGGTGGCTGGGGTGGTCTTGACCCGTTGTGGTTGATCCCATTTTGGTTGGTCAATCCCCCACCCATTTTGGATAGCCGATTTTGGTGAAGGGAATATCCAGGAATGGCACCCTCAAAGTTACCCAAATGGTGCGTTGAAGGCACACCACCATCGAAGGTAATTTTGAGAACCCCTCAAATTGTTCACTTTACCTAAAGAACTAGAATCGGTGTTGGGGAGACCACAAAACTATTATTTCTCACGAGCAAAGGAAACAATCATAGTAGTTTGTGGTCTAGATATTCAGCGCTTGTATTAACCCTTTGTTGGTGGCTTGAAAGACACCAAACAAAATGAACTTCAAAGGTCGAATCCACTAAACAACTGGGCAACTGACCATTCGTCTGTCTCATAGGTGTCCTTTGGAAAATAGACTCTTAGACAGACCTGCCATAAAACGACTAGAATCAAATTGAAACCAGTTTGGCGGAACCGACCTATTGTCAACCTGCAAAGGATGAAAGCCTATACCAAAAATAGATCGCCCACCGGTATGGCTCTGCTCATCTTGGCTCGTCTGCCTGCACGCTCGCCAGCGTAAGCTGCATCGCCGCAACGTACTCCTTCTCCCAGAAGGCATCCAAGAAGCCTTCGTCTCCTCACAACTCGCAACTCGACTCGCAACTCGACGCGGAGCGGCTCACAGATCTTCAGAGGCGCTCCTGGTGGACCCGATAGGCACAAGTTGGTAGAAAAACGTCCCCGGTCCAAAGGAAAACAACATGTGTTCTGCCCAAAACGTGGTTCGGTCATTGCTTGGAGGCGCAGAGCAACTCTGAACGACCGGGCCCCTTGAGAATTTGTCGGATCACATGCGGGCTCTTGCCCACCTTGTGAGAACAACAGAGCGGTCAACCCATTGGACTGAAGGATCCAACTCACGCAACTGATACTCGAGCCATCGACATGCAGTATGCCGTCCCGTACTGGATGGCGACCGCCCCGATCGCCCCACTTCACATCGACTCGCAAACCCCACCAGCCCACCCAACCAACGCGGCCCCAAAGAATCGTTCGTGGGGGAAAGGGATATGTTGAGTCAAGGTGATCGTCGGCCATGTTTTCTGAGAGGAAGTCCCACTCGAAGGCGAAAATTTGCCCGTTCTCCTTCTCACCCTTCAGAAACCACGCCTTCATACGAAGAGAAGGATCTCTGAAAACACTTCTCGCTGGGAATTGCTTTCAATCAAAATATATCCCAAAAGAATTGAAAAAGAGGAACCTCGAGATCTCAGACAGTCCCTAGACCGCAAGGATGCGTGTTTGATTTTTCTTGCCTGCCCCAACAGACTTCAGCCCATCTCCTCAAAAAGGCACATGAACCACTGAAGTCTACCTTCCAAAAATGGCGATTGGCCTTTTGTTTTCGCTCCAACAACACCTTAAAAAGGGGCACCCTCAAAAAAAACTCACGCCCCTAAAAGGGTCCAAAAGGTGCCCCAAAGCCCTCGACTCGTCACTGCCGGTCCTGCGGTGTCCCGGTCCAGTTGCTGAGCGCCCGCCAGCTGCGCCAGCACTGCGTAGAGCTGCAGCAGCTGCAGCAAAAGCGGCGCCTCGCAGCTCAACTCGATGGCCCCGGCAAGGCCGGGGGGGAGTGGGGTGGGGTGGGGTGGGGTGTGGGGTGGGGTAAAAAATAGTAAAAGGGGAATTCAAAGAATTCTACTTTTACTATTTTTCTCCATCAGCAACACAACAAACAGAAAACAAAATCCAGAACAACAAGCAAACAAAATAAATAATCACAACCAGCAACAAAAATATTTAATCACAGCATACAACATTAAGTAATTCAAACAAGCATACCAACAAAACAGCAAAAATCAAAACCATCAAAGAACACAAACTCAAACACACACATCAACAAATTTCAAAGCAACATACCAACAAAACATATCAGAAGAGTATCAAACAAAATAAAAACAAACAGCCAAAGCACGAAAAAATCAAAAGAGCATACCAAGTTCAAACAACGCACTTTGAAAGAGTCAAGCAAATTAGGAAAAATAAAATAATTCAATCTTTACAAACCATAAGTTCAATATAACTATAACATATAAAATTTTACATGTTATTATTATAGTATGATTATAATTTCAGTACAGGATAATAATTTAATTGATTTGTCTTACTTCTTTCATACATCATTTTAAAAATAATATTAATATCTCTCAATGTATTTTGAATATTAAACTTTTTACTTTCAATAAATAATTTGATATTTTCTTTAACATCTTCTCCTTTCTCTTGGCTATATCCCAACATCCATAATATATCATAAATCATGTGATATTTTCTTACTATTTTTTAGGAAACTGTTTAACATAATCATAAGGTGGTATTTTATTTACAGTTAGAAATATTAAAATCTCATCTTCTACATTTCTATTATGTCTTCCTTTTATTCTCAACAAACATTTGATTAAAAATTGATTATCTCTCCATTCCTGACAATTTTCACATTCGTCTTTTTCATCCATTGAATAATTAATAATATTATTCACTGTTTCATTAGGTAAATTCAATTTATACAATTCCATATTTTCTGTTTTGAAGTGACAACAATCATAGCATTTTTTATTGATATAATTATTGATTTTATCACCGTTCATTTTCCTCTTATTATATTAAGGCACTATTTCTTTAAGTCATTTTTCGGCATTAAGAAAAATTAAGAAACAAACTACAATTACAACATATAATATTTACATGTTATTATTATAGTATGAGTTCAACTCTATTTCTAATTAATTTTAAAATTCTCTTTCAATTCGTTTCACTATTTTATCAGCTGTTTTTCGATTATAAATATTATTTCCTATTTCTTTTACAAACGCCTTCAATACACTAATTGCAAGTCTTGCCGTATATCTAAGTTCAAGAGCTTTATACTTATAACTTATAAACTCATTTAAAAAATCAAAGCCATTATCATTCAATGCTTCGTATTTTAAAAGTTTAATGCTAAAAGACATATTGTATAATCTTTTTTGCCATTCTATAATACTTATAAATAAAACCATCCACATATCCATTACCCAATACATTATCATGTTCTTTTTCAGTATAGAACCTATTCGTTTCAATAAAAACAAATATTTCTAAATCATCATCAAGAGTTTCAGCATTTCTAGTATCAAAATCTCTGTTATTCATATAATCAATTTTGTTTATAATTCTATTGCAATTATCACATATCATACATTGACAAATATTATTACTAACACCATCTATAAAACCCTGTTGAATTGTTAACTTTAACATCTCACAGTCTTTACATTTGTAATTCATAAACTTTTGTTTCAATATATTTTTAACATCAATATCTTCATGGACAGTATCAATAAATTCACTATACACACTTTCTATATCACGATATTCACTATATTCACTTTCTGTATCACTCATTTCTATCTTAATATATTAAGTCAATATTCAATATTTCTTTAAGTCGTTTTCAATTAATTTATTTTATAATGACCGTAAGCAAGTGAGTTTATACTATCTAACCAATATTTTTGTTTTCATAACTACTAAGAGCAATTTTTTTAGTTGTTATACTAAAAATTATGTGGTTTTTACTTCTAATACTATTAAATGACTTATGTATAACCTCATTAGTTTTTAAAACCGTCTCAAACTCTTCATATTTCATTTGACGTCTTGCTGTGCCTTTTGCTATGCCCTTACATTTCTTATATTCTTTTTCATCACCAAAAACTGAGTAAGCGGAGCATTTAGGACGAAGGGCTATAAACCCTGTTATTATTTTACTTTTTAATTCATCCTTAAATTTACCTAATACTTTCTTGTTATTCTCATCATAACATTTATGTTCCTTAGGATAATCTGAAAAATCTATTTCTTTTTTAATTGTATTCAGGTCTTCATAAATGTCATTGGTTTTAGTATGAAATACAAAACTATCAGTATCAGTATATACCATTTTAATATTATCTCCATATTTAGGTTTCATAAAGTCATAATAAAATTTATACATGTGTTGCTTACTCAAATCTAAAATACTCATCCCAATAAATATAGGTTTGTCTAGTTTCAACTTTGTTTTTTGCTTTTCAACTCCAACCAAATTCTCATTAATGATATGACTATGTTTGAAGTTAGGATTACTTACACACTTCATATATCTAGTTTCATCACTCACAACTTCAAAGTCTAAATGTTTCCTTTTATCCTCCATTGTTTTTCCAAATATGGCATTGTTCATCAATTTATAAACATCTTTCTCAAAATCATTTCTAGCATTCTTCCTCTTCTCAGTGTTAAACTCAATGTAAGGTTTTAAAACTTCTTTTTGTTCAAATTTAATTGCTCTATGAATTTTCTTAAGTTTTAACCCTTGCTTCAAATAAAATTGTAAGGTTCTTATATGGATTACATATTTTTCTTTATCATTTAAATTCAATACTAATTTATTTGTTTTCTCATCCGTAGGTTTTTTATGATTTAAAAATTCATAAATTTCAATTTGTTTATCTGACAGCATGTTGGCTTTAACATTCATAACCTCAGGTGCCATTGGATAGTCATTGTGTAAATCGTGTAATTCTTTAGGATATTCTAAATCCACTTCTAGAATATATCCAATATTATTATTCTTATAATTAATTATGTCTTCTTCTTTTAATGTATCATCCCATTTTAGATTTTTATATGGCAGTTTTTGTATCATGCTTAACCCATACAAATTATTAGCGTCTAAATAGTTAATATAACTACTTTCTTTCTTTTTATCATAATCTTCTCCCATGTATTTATTATTTGCTTCAACTTTTTTAGTAGAAACCATACACATCCCTCCTCTAAGTCCCGCTTCTATCATTTCATACATTTCTCGGTCATATATTAAATCAATCTCTACACCAGTCATTTTAAGCATAGCATCAAAAGCAAAGTTAGGCAATGTATAATAATAAGCAGGGTCCAATCCATAATATTTCATACACACATCTCTAAAATTTTCGAAAATATCAGTCAATAATAATACATCAGTTTTCAAATATAAATCATGGTATTCACCCATATTCTTAATGTCGAAATGCTTCCATATAATTTTTGCCCTTTCATAGTCGTTAACACTTCTTCACTCAACTGACTATAAAAATCATCCTTACTCGGTAATTGCTCATCATCAAATTTATCAAATGAATTCATGTAGTCATAAGGATAAACGCCTTTATCAGTTAATAAATCTAGACATTTCTCACTCTTAATCACATCATTTTTACTACTGAACCTAAAATTATCTTTCCAGTTTTCACGCAATAACCATTTACTTTTATCTTCTTCATCTGTATTATCATACTTACTCATTGAAACTAACTTATCTAATGAAGCAGTTAAAAACCCAAAAGTGTCTTTAACACTCAAACTTTCAAAACTGATATTAATAAATTTTTCACTGTTCTGAGCGATGACACCTATTTTACTGTTGTTACTTAATTTATCCGCATTTTGAATAATTAAATGACCGTCATAATTTTTCATGTTATGGAAGAATACAGGAATTTTAAAATATCTATTACAAAAATTAAGATTGCAAACATTATGAGCACAACCTCTATACTTACCTGTAAAATGACAATGGTCTCTAACCTTTCTATATTTCTCCGCTTCCTTAGCATTCTTGTAGTTCATTCTAAACTTCTCCCCACAAATAAAGCAGTTTTTAGCATGTTTAAAATCTTCTTTGTCTTCATCGGTCATGTCTATTTTTTCGTTTTCTCCCATCTTCTCCTTTACTTCTGCCCTAATCTCATTAAGTTTTTGACAAAACACATCAACAGCATCTTTACCACGATACATAAATTCATAATTTGTATTATCAACAGCATTAACCATATTAAGCATAAAACCACATGGTTTATGAAAACGTGTTTTTATCTTCATCTTCATCAGGTTTTTTCAGTTCCTCTGTCAAACATTCAAAATCAGCATATACAACAAAAGGACATCTTAACTTTTTGAAGTGATGCTTAAAACTAACTTTCTCATAAGGCTTAGGCATTACTATCTGCTGTCCGTCAACTTCCATACATCCACTATCATAATGTTTATTTAATAATTCTTCATTTCCAAATCCATGATTACAATATTTACAAAAATAGGACTTACCATGATGATTACTTTTTTGATTATTAATAAGTCTGCTCAAACTTTTTATATAGGTATAATGACTGCAATCCTCATCATCAACTCTTAACAAATCAAAATGAAAAGAAGCATCTTTATTTTTCAATTTTCTACTAATAACAATTTGTTCATTATCATCAATTTCATAAACATTAATGGATATTGATTTATTATTTTCTTCAAATATATCTATATCATTATTATTAGCAGGAAAACTCACACCATCAAAAATCAAATCACTTTCTATCTTCTTGTAATGAAACATCTTTTCAGGGTGTGCTTTATCACAAATTTTACAATATCCACACTCAATAGAATATTTAAAACACTTGTCATCTTGATTTTTAATATTGATACATGCCTTTTTCTTTTTAATCCATTCTGGAAGTTCGATATATTTACC